GGATTCATTCCTTTTCTTTTCGAGGGAATGCCGAAAAAAAAAAAAAAAAAAAAAAAAAAGGTCACCTGACCTGTCTGGGAGGCTTACCCAGCTTTCCTTTAAAGATATTACAGAAACAGCGCAAACGTAGATTTATTCCAAAGAAGGACTACGGAGGGTTGTGCAAGCGGACTGGTACAGGAAGAATGTAATTTGGTTCCAAAGAACATGGGCGTGCAACGATAGATTAGCGACAATCAGCGCTGAAGGCCGGGTTTTGCTGTGTTCCTGGCTTTCGGATTCACACGACTAAGTAGGAAGAAGGACAGGCCGAAGGTCGGCCCGGTTTGCTTTGTCGAGTATAATGTTCTGTAGTCTAGGACCCCTTCAAGCCCTTCAGAGTATCTGCCTTGGAGAAGGATCTACTGGATTCAATCATTGAATGCAAAAGCTGCCTTTTTTTACTTGCACTTCAATGACATTTTGGAAAGTTTGGTAGAGAACTGTGGTTTTAGCTTGGGACGCTGGACCCGGTTTCCGGCTGAAGATTTAGAGGGATTATTCGCAGGGAGTGGGTTTTCGAGCGTGGCTCGTAAGCTAAACTGGCTGAGGCTGCCAGGATAACTCCGGGTTGAATTGTGAGGTCCCCGGCCTCGGTCCAGTATTTCCTTGCAATAAATTGTTGAACTTTCCCAAAAAAAAAAAAAGAAAGAAACAGCGCAAAATCTCTACCCATCCTATCACTGGCAGACTGACAGTCTGCCTTGGACACCATTGATGAAGTGGGCCTACAACGGCCCTAAAGACAACCAGGAAGTGATTTTGGGGTGCCCTTTCTCATCCTGCAGGACCAGTTTTCCCTTAAGACCCCATGTATTCCAAAACCACTTCAAACCAACCAGGGATGTGCCAGCCTTTGCTTTCCTGTACCAATCCGCCCATATGCATTGTCTGAGTTGAGCCTTAATGCGGGTTTTCAGGACTTCATCAGGAATCCGCTCATGCCGGAGGCGTTCAACTTCTTTCGCATTGTGTGCGGCCTTGTGGTGAGTGCTACGGGACAAGAGGGCCCAGACGATCGGACAGTACAGTCGGAACCTGACCATGTCACCTCAGTTCGTACACCCGTGAACTGTTGAATTACAGACCCAGTTCAAACCCTAATTTTGTTTTCCTTTTTATTTTTTAAAATTTTATTTTTGAAAGGCGATGGCCTTGAGCTATTATTGTCCAGGTCTCTGCCAAATAAAAGGGAAAAAACCATGTCGCTGATGATGCCAGATGCAATAGAAGAGAGTCTTGGAGGTGGGGCCGCAGGCCCACACACCGTGGGATACTCGAGGGTGGGTAGGGACCGCTTTGCCTAAATCGGCGGTGCAAAGAAAATCATCAGATGAACAAGCGATTAATCAAATGATTAATTGGTCGGTAGTGGAATGGATTTTGATTGATATAGTCGATCAATCAATCTACACAAAAGACCGATGAATTGATCTATTGAGGGAATCGATTGCTCGATCTATCTTGGTGAAAGATTGAAATGAGTGGAGAGTCGTGGCCGGGATGCTGGTTTGCTCAGAGAATGCGCATATAAGGTGTGATCATGAGAAGTGGAGGGTTGTACTCATGAAGATGGCGGAGGTTGCATATCGATTGTTGCGCCAGTCAACGTCGTAGGTGTTTTGATGAGGGACTCATTAACCTATGGTTTAATGGTAAGGTTAACAGGGCCGACTTGTACCGGATGAACGAAAAGAAGGAGGGGAAGAGGGAGAGGGAGAAAGGGAGAGGTGAAAAGGTAGGGTGTAGTAACCTGAGATGGGCAGGTAGTAAAAGTAAAGGCTCATTTGCATGCTAAGTTTGATTGATATAATAGGTGGATGTTTGATCAGTCAAACAATGGGTTAATCATCGGATTGAGAGTGATTGGTCAAACAAACAATCTATCGACCGAACGACTAATCTATTGAAGAGTAGATGCATTAGATGATGAATACTGAATGATTGCAAGTTGTAATCAAGGTGAGATGTAGTAACAAAGAAATAGAGCAATTATAAGGCAGATAGGTAACTAGCATAAATAACGGGTCATAAGCATGCAAAGTTTGATAAATACGAGAGTGGGCAAACGATCACTCAACAATGGGTTGAACTGTTGGATTACGATAGATCGATCTAACGAACGTTTAAACCATTGAAAAGTCGATCTATTGAGTGAGATGATTTGCAAAATCTGGTCACCAACAAAAAAGAAGTGAATATGAGTTTCCTCCTTTTTTTTTTTTTTTTTTTTTTTTTTTTTTTTTTTTTACAAAGCAACAAGATTCGAAGATGTGGCTATTTTGTGCGAGTTCTTTTTCCTTTACTTCTGCAAATCTTTAATCTCCTCCTTTTTTTTTTTGTGATAAATACTTATAATGGCTTGCTTTAAAGATCACCCTTGCTTTCTATAGTTTCTGTTGGAATGAACTCTCATTTCCTTTTTTTGGGGGGGGGCTCGTTCGACACTCTTCGGGCGCCTAAAGTCCCCGAGGAATTGTTCGTCTTAAGGGACCTCACGAGGTCCCTTGGGCAAAACAAATCCGCGTTTCACGGAGAGGCGCGGGCATATGGGTAGAGAGACGTTACAACTGAGAATCTGGATCGTGGCGGCACTGTATTGGTTGAAGGCCTCAAACACATTCATTTTTTTTTTTCTTTTCTTTTTTCTTGTCTGACATCGTTCGAAGGAAATGTCCTCGGGCGACGTCCCCGAGAACAGATGGAACGATGGCAAAAATTTACTTGAAAATCCCCAAGGAAACTTCCTTGGGCCCCGAGGACGCCCCAAGGAGTGTCGAACGAGCCCCTTAATATTGAAAACATAAGGAGCAAAGATGCTGCAATGCAAACAAAAGGCTTAATGACWGAAAGTTAAATYTTGTTTACTGAAAAGCARAGATTCAAGYCTTRCAACTKAGAACCGATTACRATCTCTTGAAAGGGGGTAGATAAGGGAGATGAGTAATAGGTTTARAGAAGAGGAGGATGAACGTGACAAGGTGGAAGAGGAGGAGAAGGCGGAAGAGAAAGCAGAAGAAAATGTCCAAGTTGCGAAAGATTCTGGGTTTTCTTCTAGATCTAGGGGGTTTATGATAGAGGGAGGTTAGGAGTCAAGAGGGGGAAGAGATGGGAGTTTTTTTTTTTTTTTTTTTGATAAATACTTATTCATGGCTTGCTTTAAAGATCACCCTTGCTTTCTATAGTTCTGTTGGAGTGAACACTCTCGTTTCCTTTTTTTTTTTTTTTTTTTGAAACATAAGGAGCAAAAATGCTGCAGTGCAAAAAAAAAGTTTAATGACAAAAAGTTAAACATTATTTACTGAAAAGCAGAGATTCAAGTCTTACAACTGAGAACCGATTACAATCTCTTAAAAGCGGGTAGATAAGGGAGATGAGTAATAGGTTTAGAGAAGAGGAGGATGAACGTGACAAGGTGGAAGAGGAGGAGGAGGACGGGAAAGCAGAAGAAAATATCCAAGTTGTGAAAGATTTGGGTTTTTCTTCTAGATCTAGGGGTTCTTAGGATATAGGGAGGTTGGGAGTCAAGAGAAGGAAGAGATGGGAGCTGGTTAGTTCTGAGGGTGGGGTGGGGAATTAGCAACATAGGTTGAAGTGCGGCCTGAGGTTCTGGGGGAGGAAAATTAGGAGCGGATCCGTAGTCTAAAGATCTGCCCGATCTTCTATTTCTTGAAGAAGAAGCATTGAATGTCTTCCTAGGAGCCATCTTGATTAGTCTTGCTGCTCGTTGGAGAAGGAAAAGGTGTGGATCCCATGATAAGTCCTGAGAATAAGCTTGGGAAGCTGGGATGAGGATGATTGCGAGGATTGACGCGAGCTCAACGGAATAGGATTGAAGTTCGGAAGAGTCCCGCAGACCGCGTTCCTTATAAGTCTGAACCACGGTCCAGGTCCTGTTGAGATGAGAGCGTGGAGATAGAGATGGCTGAAGTCCGTTTTCACATGGTCTGCGAAGAACCCTTTGAAGAAGATTGGAAGAGGAGTGATTAAGATAGGATCTGCGCCAATAGCTGGGAGATTATCTGCAAGGCAGATGAGACCGGATCTGGTCCAGGGTCTTGAAGACTTGTTCTTCGTTGAAGCAAAGGAGAGGAGGAAGCCGTAGAACGGAATCCTGAGGTCGTGGGAGTGCTCCTCTTTGAAGATTGCCAAACTCCTTTTAGCCTGATCCTGCTCGAGAAATGAGAGGAAGTTGAGATTCCTTGAGCCCACAGAGGTGAGAGAGAGAATAAGATTGGAAAAAAAAGAATGAGAGAGGAGTTCGACTGCCTTCTTTCTTTTAAGAAAATAGAAAGAGCTACCGTCGTCACGATTCTGAAAGGTGAAAAAAGCAGCGTCCGCAACGAACTCTAAAAAGTCTAAGATAGCTAATGAAGACCCATACCTCTCTTGTTGCTTGGCGAATGAATCTGGAATGAGTAAGAGAAAGTTGAAAAGATGGAAGGGAAGAAGGGTGGCTGAAGGTGGTTCAAGGACGAAGATTCGCTAACGACAGTCGTTTGCTAGAATTGGTGAAGGTTGAGAAGGTTTGGTTAATGGGGTTAACATGGAAGTAACTTCCTCTATCAGTCCGTCGTCCGGGATAACTAAGTCAAATTTCAGGGCGAGATTAAGGGGGAAGAAGGATTTGAGGAAGAGGTCGTAGGTAGGAGGGTTATCATCGTGGTGAGGTTGAAAGGTAGGACGATTGACTTCACAAGAGGAGCATTCTTGAGTTGACATAGACCGGTTGGTGCTGGTAGGAGTGACAAAAAGTGGGGTGAGGGCATGGCAGCAGGCCGAAACATTCATGGCGTTGGGACGACTGACCTTACACTGAAGACTGACACGGAAGACGCAAGTACTGACCGAAAGACTGACAGGTTGGTCAACGTGTGTGACGACGTGAGACCCGTAGGTTGAAGCGATGAGTTAGCGCCTAACCGAAATCGGCGGAGAAGAATGACTCTCTCCTCAGACCGGCCTACAGACTCGATCGTGTGGTTTTTGGGAACCTTTGGTCCTTACACGGCCAGGCCGCCCAGGAATACAAGGTGACCCGGGCGGCCTGGCTGGTAGCCTAATTTTTTTTACCTCGAAAAAATCTCTGTGGGAAAAAAACAACAACAACACACATTTCATTTTTTTTTTTAATTTACAAAAACAAAAAAATAAAATAAAACATTCGGCGTTGTAGACCTCAAAAAGATCTACAACCCTGTATTTTTTAATTTATTTTTTGCTTAATTTTTACCTGAGAAAAAAAAAAATTCCTGCGCCTGCTGAAACCCCATTTAAACGCCTTTAAGCGAGGGATTGAGCGGTGCTAAAAAACTTGAGTGCCCTCCTCATTCTCGTCATTGATGCAGCACGGCCCTGCTTGCGCGTGCTCCCGCATACGTCTTATCAGCCCTCGCTCTCGCTCATAATAGGCTTCCTCATCCTCCGTGACAAGCACGGGGACCGGGCGGCACTTCTTATCTATAGTCTTGTACCGCCTTTGGGAGCCCTGCTTAAGCCCTCCCCTAAAAAAGGCCGACTTGTCGTTCGGGCCTGGGCCATCGCAGGGTCCCCTTTCCTCCCAGGAAGCCGATAGATCAGCTCCACTTCTCCCACCTGAGGGCTCTCCAGGAACTGCTCCCTCAAAGCCTTTATAGCCTCAGGGTCCGCCATATCATGCGCCGCCACCACCTCCATTGCCTTATTCACATCGTTAAGGCTTAGGGACAACACCTCGCCCGCTCCTTCCTCCTCTTGTTCCTCCCGGAGCCTTCGTCGCGCGTACTCGGACTCCTCGAAGTTGAAGGAGCCGAGGTTGAGCCTGTTCCTCGCACTTTCAGGCCCTGTGTTCCGGCACTTAATAATCTCGTAATTTCCACAAGCCGGATCGGATAGAGCCAGGATCATTGTCCCCTCATGCCTATTGAAGACCAAGGTCTCCGTTCGGCAGAGGACCTCCCCAGAAGGATAGGGTGGTCGACATCGGGCATGACGAAGAAGCACGTTCGCGCCCTCACCCTCCCGATCTCCACCATCACATTAGACGCGGTGCCGCATAAAATTGCGTTACAATTGGCCCCGTGTAGCACACCATGGTCCGAATGATCCACCTCTAGCCCTAACATGGTCACGTCCCGCTCCCGGATGATGTTCATCTCAGCGTCTGTATCCACCATTGTGATGCTCGACTGGTCTAATGGCTCAGTCCTTGCAGGTGGCCGAACTTAAGAGTCGGGTCAACAACAAATAGCATGTGCTGGAAATCAGCAGCCTGTCAGAAGCCATCTCCATCTGGTGGAGGCCGGGCACAACCATCTGACAATTCAAAGTGCACTCTCTATCCCACTGCATATATGCGTACATTAAGTGGGCGCCCTCCACCTTCTCCCCCACAAAATAAAGAGAGCCCTAGGGTCCACATGTACAGTGCACATGCCCAAGATTGAAAGAAAATAAAAGTGGGCCAGGGTACAGTCGCTCAGGCGAGTCTGGCTTCCTTTCGCCCAGGAGATGACCTTGATGGTAGAAATCATGAAGCGGAGGCATCGCGCGTATGCGTTTAGTGATGATGAGCATGGGAGATTGGACGTGGATAAGATTCCAATGATACGAATCCATACCGTCCCACACGAGCCATGAAACCTGAGGGGCGCGCGATACGCGAATCCAGACGAAGAGAAAAAGGTGGTGGACTACCTGGACGGGAAGATGCGGACGTATGTGGCAGACTATTCCAGTAGACCGTATGCCTCCCCTTGGTTTTGTTTTATCAAGCCGAACGAAATGCTATGGTGGGTACAAGATTTGCAACGATTGAATGCAGTGACGGTGCGAGACGAGGGAGGATTGCCAAACGCGGACGCCCTGTCAGTGTCATGCGCAGGGAGGCCTATAATTTCACTTATAGACCTTTACTCTCGTTATGACCATTTTCCTGTGTACCTGCCAGATAGGCAGGTGACGTCGATGCATATGCCAAGGGGGCTGATCCACATGAACGTGGCCCCTTAGGGTTGGACTAATGCGGTGGCGATGGTGCAAAGGCACATGATTAGGGCTATGCAGACGGTTAGTCCACATATTACTCAGCCCTACATTGATGATCTGGCGGTCAAGGATCCAAAGGAGAAGGAGGAAGATGAAGTGATGCCAGGAGTGAGGCGGTTCGTCTGGAAGCACATCCAGGGTATCGACCAAGTTCTGGATCTGCTGGAAGAACACAACCTGACGGCGAGCGTCCCCAAGTCGAAGCATTGTATGAGGGAGGCCACGATTCTGGGCTTTGTCTGCAACGAAAAGGGGCGGAGGCCAGATGTGAAGAAAATGGACAAGATCCTAGAGTGGCCAGTCCCCTTCTTGTCAATAACGGACCTGAGGAGTTTCCTTGGGACCTGTGGATTTTGGAGGAGTTTTGTGAAGGACTTCGCCACCAAGACGGAGCATTTGAGGAAGCTGGTACGTCAGGATCAGGAATGGGTCTGGGGCAAGGACCAAGAAAAGGCGGTGGAAAGGATGAAGAGAGAATTCAAGGAAGGAGGCTTGGTGTTGGGAGCGCCGAATTATGAGGCCACGGAGGAAAAACCATTCGTTGTCGAGACGGACGTCGGGCCAACTGCCTTAGGAGGGGTCCTGATTCAGGCAGACGCGGATGGAAAGGAGAGGCCGTTAAGGTTTGAGAATCGTACCCTCAATACGACTGAGAGGAATTACTCCCAGTTTAAAAAGGAGACGCTGACGGTACTCCACTGCATGAGGACCTTTCGGAACTATGTCTTTGGCAGGAGGCTCATCTTGAGGGTGGACCCTACCGCGCTTGCGTGTTCCCTGAAAAGTTATACTCCATCTGACCTAACCATCGCGAGGTGATTGACCTAGATTTGGATGTTTAACTTTGAATTGGAGAGGATTCCAAGGGACAAAAACAGGGCGGATGGGTTGAGCCGTATCAATTGGGACGGGGCGAATCAAGAATCAATTGAGGATACCCTACTAGTCGACGGGTTCTTGGATCAGGAGGAGGATGTCCGCCTCCACATAAATGAATGGTCGCTGAGGGTGCCTAGCTGTGTCGCGCATCCCATATGGCTAGCACCAAAGGGGTACGAGCGGAAGGAAGAGCTGGTCCTCAAGCCTTTCCAGGAGGAAGATCCGTGGGGGAGTAGGGATGTTGGCTGGATGATGAAGTTGGCATTGGCAGACACACATAGTCTGGCGGAAGAGAAGAGGASGATAGAAGAAGRGYCAACCCAGGTAGAGGAACATGAGCAGTTAATGGGAGGAATGTACTTGCTCACCAATACGCTCCTGCAGGGGAACTTTAACCAGAGGAGCGCARCCGGTTCCGAGGAGTGCGAACTTCTTATCCCTGAAAGCCAGGACGACGAGTTCGAAGAGGGAGAGATTAGGGAGGCCTTCCGTGCTGAGGAGTATGACGGGATCTATCGGAAGTTGGGGTTACTCCTGTCGTGCGAAATAAGGGATAGGGACGCAAGTGCTAAAGCCCAGAAGATGAGGCATCTCTACGTAGTAAGAGATGACCATCTGTTTATAAAGCGACAAGTTGGGAACCCCAAGAGGATCGTATGTGGGAGGAACCGACAGATTGATGTCATAGCAGCTTTACACGATGGTATAGCAGGGGGGGCACAGAGGGGTTACTGCCACGTGCGCAAAGATAAGTGAGCTCTACCATTGGGATGGAATGCTGACTATGGTCATCAAGTAAAGCCAGTCCTGTGTACCTTGCCAACAGAGGTCAGCGCAAAGGCCTGGGGAGCCTCTGCACCCCAGGCTGGAAAGGGAAGTGGGTGCAGTCGTACACTTGGACCTGTTGTTCATGCCACTCGGGGAGGACGGAAGTAACTATATCTTCGACGCACGGGACAACCTTACCGGGTTCGTGGACGGTCGGGTTATTCGTACGAAAACTGTACCAGTTTTAGCAAGGTGCATCGAAGATTACTACTTGCGCTATCCATGTGTCATAGAGTTTGTGATGGACCGGGGGTCGAAGTTCACTTGTAACAAGGTGCGGACCTTGCTTGCGGGGTACGGCGTGGTCGCAAACTATACTACTGCCGCGCACCCCCACGCAAACGCACCTATGGAGAGGGGGCATAGTACCATCACGAATCTCCTGGCCAAATGGACTGAGGGGAAGCCTAACCAGTGGCCGAAGTTCCTGAGAGCAGCTTTCCTCGTGGAAAATGTTACAGTGAAAAGGACTACCAAGTATGCACCGGTCACTCTATGGTACGGGAGGCATGCCACCTTTCCCATAAAAAGCTTTATGAAGACGTGGAGGCGCCAGGACCTGGAAGTGAACCTGTTTTTCGAAGAGCTGCTCGATATACCGGCACGGCAGGTGGGGGCCGTTGAAGAAAGGTTACGAGAGGCCGCTGGTCAGGTAGAGAGAAGCCGTATGGAAGACAAGATGAGATGGGACCAGATGGCCCGAATAAGGAAGGATCCACTGAAAGTTGGGGATGCGGTGCTGCTGTATGACTCTATGTTGGAAAAACAATGGTCTACGAAACTCGATAAACGGTGGCTGGGATCCTATAGGATCGTGCGGTGTGGCGAGTTTGGGGCCTACCAAATCGAAGAGCTGAATGATGCAGGGTGGCAGGACTGGGTATCAGGGACAAGGCTGAAGAAGTTCGTGGCCAGGGAATAGGTCTGACTTTTCGAAGGCAGCCATGCAGAGGGGTGAGAGGGACACACAGCCACGCCAGGGGCTCCAGAGGATAGCGGGAGGGGGCGAGCAGCATGGGCCGCCTAGGAGGGAGCCTACGCCTGAGTTTGACGACGATAACATAGAGTTTTTCCTGGACGTATATCGGGATCATGCGGCACAGAGAGGGTGGTCAGTGGCGGAGAGGATTTACCACTTGAGAGGTATARGGCGGTTCGAGGAGCSTGTCGCTCAGATATGTGAGGAGGCCCTGACTTGGCCGGATGTGGAGGCCGGAATGCAGAGGTTGAGAGCTTCCCCTAGAGGGCGCGATGGCATGCCCATTCAATTGGAGGAGGGGAACGCAGAGGAGTTCATTTCCGCATATGAAGGAGGGATGCAGGCTTCGCCGAGTCAGGGAGTAGCAGTGGAGGTCCCTCGATAGGCCGAGCCAATGAAGGAGGTGCTCGTGGACGCAGTTGAGGAGGAGGGTGGCGAGAAGGAGTCACTTATGGCTATGTCCACGGAGAGGAGAGGTTCGCGTTTGCATGAGCTGGCGGCAACCATGGGGATAGGCATGCCATAGGAGGGCCCTCAGAGACTCGACGCTCCAGAGCTTGCCCCAAGGTTGGGAGAGTTGAGGGCGGAGCTGGGCCCCTGGGCCACGGAGACGGACTCAGGAGGGCCTGACTCGCGGCAGCAGGAGGTCATGAATGAGCCCACCACTATGGTGGGCTCTCAGCCGTCGGGATCATGTGGGGACGAGGTGGTGGTGGTGGCAGAAAGGCCTCATGAGGAGGGACCCCGAGAGTAAGACACGCCAGAGTGCGGGCCAGCGAGCGCAGTCGTACGAGGGGGTGAGGATGCTGAGGCTCTGGAGACCGAACCTCAGGGCCATATGGGCTTGCCCTCGTGCCATGAGGTGAATACTTAGACCATGGGGACGCCTTCAACATCGAGTTCCCGGGGGAGAAAGGAGAAGACTGCCAGGTGGCACGACACTGCCTGCTTTTGGTGCAAGAAGGAGGGGCATAGAGCCATGGACTGTCCAAAACTCCTTCAGGATAAGGCCGAGGGGTGCTTTGCAGAGGTCGACGGCAAGTTCTATGACAGGCAGAGCAGGATAGTAGAGCGAGCTCCAGATGGGGGCAAGGCTCAGTTGTATAGGCAGAACCAGGAGGAATTGTGTAAGTAGGGACTGGTCTGTCTATGTGTCAGTAGGGTCAGAATAGTGGGCACACAAGGGGCGGGTTGGAGGTGTACATATGTTTACTTGGCTGAGGGAGTCCTAGATGTGTGCGCGTTTTAGAGGTGGTAGGTTGAGTCCCGGCCTGCTTATATATAGTTGCTTGCGTTTTCGTTGAGTTGTTCCTTCCTGGGCTACGGCATAGGGCATGAGGGTTGGCCGTAGGACACATGGGGCTATTCAGTCCACTTTTGATTTCGCAGTGCGGAGATTACTTGAGTTTGAGAGAGACTTGAATATGAGTTTTCCCGAGTTAGGTGAGACAGAGGGTTAGACACACTTTAGATTCTGAGTAGATGTTGTGTCCCCGAGCGTGTTCCGCGGGTGTAMAGTGGGGTCGGGAGCCATGCTMAGATGGACAGAGTTTGASTTGAGTGTTTGTGTTTGWGTCTTGAGGGAGRCATTCTACTCCCTKAGTGTATCATGAGTTGAGATTCTATGGGAYTTGTCTTGTGACGACCACTATCACTCTCACAGGTGTGATTTTATCCTGATGTATGATTGGCTTTGTGTGAGAGATGTACAGGATACATCTCATGGGCATGATTGTGTAAATTGTAAAGTTGTCTACCTTCCGGTATACTCGTGCGGTCTGCTGCGAGCGGACGAGAGGGCGGAGTATAAGGAGGGGAAGTGCAGCCTACTTGTGAAAAACTGTGAGAATCCTACAGGATTGATGGATTCAGAAGTTTGCATGTTTGGTCATACTGGACACCGTTGCCTAAGTTGTACAGGGACCCAGAAGATGGTTCCTCAGCTTGAGTTTGTTTGATGATTAAGACCCCCCTTCATGGTTCTGGGAGGCGGGAATTGCATTGTTATCAAAGCCCCTTCACGATAAATGCCTTCATTGAGCGACTCCTGACTTCATTGTTATCAACACAAACAAAAAGGAGGCGACTGCTGGCTCAGATCAAGTCAGGAGCCGCGACCTTGTGGATCCGGCGAGGAGATTGTTTGTGATTGAGCGAAGGGTGCCGTGCTTATTATAGGAGGGTCGGTAAATGCCTTCAGACCCCTTCGTAGTCCCGCAGCGGCCCGTGAAGTATTTGTGATGCCCCGCCGGGCCACCTGTGCTAATTCTGAGACATATTTGAGGGAATACCAAGCTAACGGTAAAGTTTAGTGCCACCTGGGCGCAACCCCTAGTGGATGGCTGCTGACCGGCACAACCTGGCTGCGGGCCCGCGAAGTAAGAGTTTAAGGGGAGTTGCCCGCCCCAGAGAAATTACCCCCCGGGATAGGAGTCGAGTCTGTTGGAAAAGCCTGACTGACTAATTGTCAGGAAAAACGCCTATTGTTGTATAACCAACGGGAGGATACCGCCGCTAAGGTAACAACGCGGTGGGTCGTGGACCTGGCCCGATCAACCAGGCTATGGTGGGCTCAGATGGAGACCTGGCGTTTCTGTACTAGACTGCAGAAAAGGCCGAGAGAGGCTGTAAACTATATGTATGTATTTTGGTTGATGGTGAGAAAATTGTTAAAAGAAGGCAAGAATGCCTTCACAGGTCCCATTCAAAGCCCGCGTCCCTAGTTATGGCTCTGTCTATGAGAAAGAGATTAATTGGGACACCCAACGAGAGACCGACGGTTGTCTAGGATAAAGGGGAAGAGGATGGTTTGAGGGCCTTTGGAACTTATGCTGTAGTATTGATGCGTAATACACCGGCGTCCTGGTGTTGGGACAATGGAAACCCAGGTTGAAACCCTGACAGCATATAGTTGTGTTGGCACGGTTTGATAGAGGCATCAACCCTGAGTCTGTCGGCTAATCGGATTGGTTCTGATCTCGTCAGCATTTGGAATGTGAGGAAATATATAGCTTCTTGATTTGGCGACGCGACGGGGACGTTGCTTAATATGGTCCAGTAAGTTGTCGGCGCGAATACCCTAAAAAGGGTATCCGCCCTGGTTTTTGCAAGTGACAGAATGGCTTGGTTAACCTACATTTTGGGTGCCCGTGAGGGAAATGTGAGGGTCGTCCGCGCGCGGGTAAAAGTCTGCCTTGTCCCGGTAGGGAGTATGTGGGCGCGCAATTTTGAGGCGCGCGTGTGATTTTTTCTGGTTAAAGTGGGCGGCCGGTCTAGTTGACCGGCCCGGATCGTGTTACGGCCTTGGTTAGGGAGCAAAAGTTTGTTTTTGGTCGGTGCACGCAGCCCGGCGGTATGGTTGGTGCGCCGGTAGGCGTATGGGATGTCCTGGGCACAGGCTGGCAGGCCGGCGCAGACGCTTAGGGATTGTGAATGTAGATGGGGGCCGAAGGAATGGCCGAGGCGGTACCTTGGCCCGAAGGCGCCACGTGATACCACCTTATGTGGGAAGCCGCGCCTGCTAGTCACAGGCTTGGTCTTAGCCCTATAGGTTACGGTGTTGGACTATTGCGACGGAGGAGCGGGGATCGAGGCCAGCAGGCATCAGCACAGGAGCAGCGGAGCACCGAAAAAACTGAGGGGGTCGAGGGCTCGACGGGGCTATCCCCCTTTTGGTTTTGCTGGCCGGTGCGACAGCGAGCGCGATTGCGGGGGCCGGCTGGATACCGGCAGTTCACACCCCACTGTTTCAGGAAATTTTGTTAATTTTGTTATTTTTCAATTTTTATTTTTTTTACGCTGTCTCTGTTTTAACTCTAGGACCCGGCCGGTGGGCATATCTGGGGGTAGCCGAGGCCTGGGCATGTGTCAGCACCCCGGATAGCCCAGGGGATCCTTTCCGAGGTTGCTGCAAGGGCAGCCGCGCGGGGGGGGGGGGGGGGCACTAAGGGGCTCTGTCCCGAACAAGATGGCACAAAGAGGGTTCGCGTGGTCCCGCGGAGGAATAA